CAGAGCCCCGGGCTCCGTTGCCGGGCCAGGACACAGCTTCCGGAAGGTGACGCTCACCAAGCCCACCTTCTGCCACCTCTGCTCCGACTTCATCTGGGGGCTGGCCGGCTTCCTGTGCGACGGTGAGCGCCCGGGCCCGATGCCCACCCGGCTGCAGCCCTGCCTCTGCCCCGTGGCGGAAGCCTGAGCGGAGGTGGCACCGGCGCTTTCGGGGTGGGGGGCGGGGTCCCAGCCCTGTTCTTGGGACCTGCCTTCGTGGGGCGGCCGGGGCCTGTGCGCCGTAGGGCCGTTCCAGGCTGCGGGTCTCCGGGCTTCCTCACCTGGGAGGTGCGGGCAGTGTCTCCATAGTGCCGCGCGACGGCTGCGACCGGGGGCTGTGCCTGATGCGAGCGGGACCTCCGCTGGGGTCCCCATGGCCGGCTTCCCCTCCCAGTGGCTGGGGCAGCAGGTGTGGCCGAGCAGGGCTGGCCTGGGCCCCTGGCCCTGGCCCTTCTCATGCTGTGGCCCAGAGTCCCAGCCACCTGGAGAGCCAGGCCGGGCCCTGCCGCCCGGTGCGCGTGCCCCAGCCCTGCTCCACCCAGCTGCCCAGCCCCGTCTGGGGTGAGGACGGCCCTTCCCTGCTCTGGGCCCGGGTGCTCCCAGGGCTGGCTCTCATCTTCCCCCGCGGCAAGCAGGCGGGCCCTGGGGACCACAGCCCAGCCTCTGGAGGGAGCGAGGGTCAGGACCGGAGTCCTGGACGTTTGACACTTACTGTGTCCTGGCCAGGGACGCCGAGGTGGCTGGGGCTAAGGAGCCTCTGCCCTGCTCAGGGATTCAGGCCTTTGCTCTGGGGATAGGGGTCCACTCAGGCCGGGGTCCACGGAAGAGACTGTCCCCTCACACAGGGATGTCGTCTGTGGTGGAAATGGCATGGTTGTTCCGACCCCCAGGGCGCACAAGGTGGCCTGGCCTGCCAGCTTCTTTGTCACATCAGAGCATGGCACAGCCATGCCTGCTGCCTGGGGACGCCAGGGGCTTCCCCCGAGGTGGGGAGTGTGCATGTGTGGCTGAGGCGGCTCCCTGCTTGAGGCCAGACTCCGGGTCCCCTCCCTCTTGGGAGGGGGCACAAGGGCCCTCCTGGGCAGCACCCAAGGAAGAGGGGCCAGCAGGGCTATGGGAAGAAGGGCGCCCTCCCCCACCCCCGGAGACCCAAGCATGGGGCATGGGGTGAGGAGGCCCTGTCTCCACGGCAGAGGAGGGACACGGGTGCTGCCTGTCTCCCCTTCTTCTCTCGGCGGACCCTGGCCTGCTTCCAGAGCCTTTCTATTAAGCTGCCAGAAAGAACTTCTCGAGTCCCATCTGGAGACTGGGGTAGCCAGGGCTGCAGCAGGTGAAGGGTGCTGTGTTGTGGCACCAGCTGGGCCTTCTGGAAGAGCTCCCTGTCCCAGCTGGGCAGCCTGGAGCTCCCTGGCACAACCTTCACCCGGGGCTGTCTTGGCAGGTGTGTCCCTGGGTGCCTTGCCCACTCCCAGCCCCCAGCAGCCTTTGCCCCAGCTCAGGGCTCCTGCCCTCCCTTCTGCCCTGGCCCCACCCTCCTGTCTGTTTCACTGCTGGGGTGTGGCGCTTGCTGCTCTTATGTCCTCCTGAGCACCCTGCTGGCTGAGGTGCTCCCTGGGTCCTGTGCACATGGCCAGAGCTCCTTGGGAGGCTCAGGGCTGTCCACTCCCCAGCAGCTCCTGCCTCCCAGAGCCCTCACCTGCCCTGGGTGGCTCTAGGTCTCAGGCATGGCGCACAGCACGTAGCAGGGAAAATTAGGGGTGTGCGCAGTTTCGGGGGAGTGAGACACAGGTGTCCCTGGCAAAGCCAATCTGCAGAAGCCCGAGACGCCCCTGCCACTTAGCAAGCCTGGTGAGCCCAGGGCTGCCCCTTGAGAGGCCCAGCTGCAGAGGCAGGAGGAGCTCTGGGCCCACGTGCAAAGGGGAGGGGCTGCTCTCTGGATGAGAGGACACACTCATTGTCCTCCAGGATGGTCAGGACCACCCAAGTTCTTGCTCTTGGGCTGCGGGTTGTCTCCAATGAGTGGGGCTGGGGGCGGGGGGAACTCGGAGAACCACAGGGTGGGTATGGCAGTAGTTGCCCTGGGGCCTCTAACTTCCTGGGTAGGACAGCCATTGGGTGGGACAGGGGCCAACTCACACAGCGCTCATTCCCACAGTCTGCAATTTCATGTCCCATGAGAAGTGCCTGAAGCTCGTGAGGATCCCGTGCACGAGTGTGGCGCCCAGCCTGGTCCGGGTGAGTGTGGGGCTGGGTGTTGCACCTGCAAGAGGCTGGGGGATGTGTCAGCTCTCGTGGGGTCGAGGTACTGAGACCCTTCATGTCAGATGTTTGTGATACCTGCAGTTGAAAGGCAAAGGTCAGACACTGCTCGGGATTAAAAGGCTCAGCACCCTGCATGGATCTGTAGGGAATGATGATAAAAGCCAGTCCCAAAGGTCACAGTTAGCAAGATCCTGTCCACAGAACGTGCTCAAAATGACGAAACTAAACATCTACACAGATGTAGAGAGGTCTCCAGGCGGGGAAGTGGATGTGGCTGTGACATGCAGCGTGAGGGCTCCTGGGGGGATGATTTCCGCATCTGGGGTGTCAGCATCTCAGCTGTGATGTGACCTTAGTTTGCAAGATGACACACTTAGGGGAGCTGACAAAGGCTTCAGGGGGTCTATGCCATTCCTCATAGCTGCGTGTGAACCCACAGGCACCTCAAGGAAGCTTGAATAAAAAGCAAAGGCAGGAAGTCTGGGTGCCTGAGGGTGTCTTGGCCACCAGCCTCCCCCTAAGGGCTCTGAGTGGGGCAGGGAAGTGACTGGCCCAAGACACTGCAGGGCACTGCAGGAGCCCTGGGCTGGGGCAAAGGCTGCCGGGGGCTGGGAGTGGGCAAGGCACCCAGTGACACACCTGCCAAGACAGCCCCGGGTGAAGGTTGTGCCATGGAGCTGTTCTCTGGTGACAGTGGTGACAGCAGGGACATGTAGGAAGGGCCAGGCTTACTCCTCCCTCAGCTGTCAGCCCCGCCGTCTGCAGACTGAGGCCCCCCATGTCTGCATTCCCTGAAGTGCTCAGGCCGCAGGTGGGGTGCAGGCTGTGAGGCAGGCCCAGGTGTGCAGCAGGACGGGAAGCCAGGCCAGCAGGCGCACCTGCCACTGGCGGGCATCCGGCTGCGCCGTCCCCTCTAATGTCTGATGCCCTGTTCCTAATGATGCAGTTTCCGGGGTGTGAGCAGGAAGCCTGAGGACGCTGGCCCTGGTGGTGGCCGGGATCCTGGGGATGCCACATTGGCTTGGACAGCCCCTCCTCATGTGGACGGCCTGAGGCTGCAGCTTTTTAAAATTGATTTTAATGTACTTTTCTATACTTTGCTTAATTGGGAAAATATGTATTTCAACTATATGCATAATAGAAAGTTTAAAAGATGTATTTGACAAAATAAAAGTCACCCACCATTCTGGTATGCTCACAGCTGAAATTGTGGAACACGGTCTTTCTGTGTATACTTTTATCGGGTGTGGTTTAAGTTTGGGGATAAGGGCAAGAGTCGGGAGTGAAGACCTGGTCCTTGTCCTTCCCTTCTCGTGGAAAAGCAGCAGCCCAGCCCTCCCCAACACAGAAACATTGATCCACACTTGTTATGGCCTGAGCGTCTCCCAGAGGGCAGTCCCTGTGTGCTGGGATCTTCCTGGCTCCGAGGAGACAGATGCCAGGCGGTTGACAGAGCCTCGCCTGCCCCAAGGAGGGAAGGGGTGGCAGGGGGGCCTCGCTTCCCTGCGCTAGGCAGGGCTGCTGGGGAAGGCCACAGCCTGCTCCCTGCTTTTGACCAGCCAGGCTGCCCCCAGAACCAGGGGTTGTGGTTGCTCCTGGGGCCTCCAGGTGGCACGGCCAGCCCACCAGCCCAGCAGGAGCGTGAGCTGCAGAGTTGTGCAAGTGAAGAGGAGGAGGGGCGGCGGGCAGCCTGTAGCGCTTACCAAGAGCGCTGAGGTGAGGCTGCGTCTTCCCTGGCCAGGTTCCCGTGGCCCACTGCTTCGGCCCCCGGGGGCTCCACAAGCGCAAGTTCTGTGCTGTCTGCCGCAAAGTCCTGGAGGCGCCTGCGCTCCACTGCGAAGGTACCTGGAGCCTGCCTGGCTCCCCTTGCCCCACTCAGCGTCCTAGTCTCTGATGCAGCTTGTCAGGGGTGATCCGGGGAAGCCGAGGACTGGCCGCCCGGCAGGCCACAAGACAGTTAAAGGATGCGGGGTGCTAGGTGGTAGGGATGGGGCCAGACCCAAGCGCCAGCAGAGGCAGGGATCCTTCGGGGCAGGGCAGACACCTCTAACCCTGCCTGCCCCCAACCCTGCCTGCCCCGCAGTGTGTGAGCTGCACCTCCACCCAGACTGTGTGCCCTTCGCCTGCAGTGACTGCCGCCAGTGCCACCAGGATGGGCACCAGGATCACGTGAGTGCACTAGCCCCAGGGAGCCCTGGGGGGTGGGGAGGGCCCAGCTGCTGACTGCCCCGCTCTGCAGGACACCCATCACCACCACTGGCGGGAGGGGAACCTGCCCTCAGGAGCGCGCTGCGAGGTCTGCAGGAAGACGTGCGGCTCCTCTGACGTGCTGGCTGGAGTGCGCTGCGAGT